TGGGTCGGGGCCCGGGACGTGGGATGGGGGCGTGAGGAGGTGCTGCGGGGGACTCGCCCGTCCAGCGGGGAGAAGCCTCCCGCCTGGTGAGACCTCCCAGGGCTTCCCAAGGGGGAGGTCCCTGGGCAGGTGGCCCCGAGGCAGGTGAGATCTGTCGTAGGGAGAGGGCCCTTGAGGAGGAGGGGACAGTGGAAAGCTCTGAGCCAGGAGAGAAGAGGGGCATTAAGAGAGCAGGGCTTCAGGGGTTGCAAAGATTTGGAGCTTGGGACCTTAGGCTGTGGCAGGGTTTCCTGTTTAGGATTTGGGGCTCCTGTAAGGTGGGCAAGAAGCAGGGCCTGGAGAAAAGGGAATATGAAGTGGCAGGTGTGGTGGGAGGTCATGGGAAATTGTGAAGAGTTGGGGATGGGGACCCCAGAGGCAGCAGCCAGTTTGAAATGTGGGCAGCTGGGAATTCCCATAAGGCAAGAAGGAGAAATGGGAGGTGGAGCTGCTTGGTGGAGTTGGGGGCCTAGGGCCCCTGGGCTGGGTGGCTGGATGCCAAGGAGGGCTGAATAGGGTGGGGGAGAGTGGCTGTGGCCCTTTGTCTTCCAGGCCCAGTCAGGAGAGGGACAGAGGAGTTCAGGGGGGTGGGGCTGCTGGTGGAGAGTGCAGGGGCTGCAGGGAAAGGATCAGTTCCTATCCCAGGATCCTCAAGGGTGGATTTTGGCAGCCAAGTTCATGAATGTGAGGGCCTGTGAGGGTGCTCCCAGGGAAGGAGGCCTGTGTGTGTGTAGGGAGCCTTGTATGCAGGCCTTGTGGAGAGGGTTCCGGGGGCTGAGAATGTGGCATGGGAAGTCCAGGAGATCCAGCAAGAAGGGATCCGACAAGTATATCTGTCATTCCTCAGTCATGTGCTCCTGGGGGGTGACGGAACCATGTTGTGGATTCATCATTTGGATGATTCATCCCCAGTCCCTAGGCCAGCTGCTGGGGAGACCCTTCCTCGCCCTTTTTTCAGGCTATGCAGGCTGCCTCTGCCCCTTCCGTAGGTCATAGCTAGGCCGTAGCTTCCTGAGCTTCAGGGCACTTGGGCTGGAAGCGAGAGTCTTCATGTCTGGGACTGGGGGTCTGGCTCTGTACCCAGATGGCTTCTGCTTCTCCCCCAGCCTCCTTCCCCACTCACCACCACACACATTGGCCATCGCCACCGTTGTGGAGGCTGATAAGAGCATCTCCCTAAGGCTTGGCCAGCTTCCCTGAGCCAGGAAGAAGGGCTGGCTTGAGTCAGTAGGCCGGGCTGGGAGGGCTGGGGCTTGCCACCTTTCCTGCCTGCTCCAGAGAGGGTTCGGGGTGAGGTCCTGGACAAGTAGTGGGGGTAGGGGTGCAGCAAATGGCCTAGGGATGGCCTGATGGGGCAGGGCCAGGGCCAGGGCGTCCCTGTGCCGGGCACTGTTGACCGCTCCTGTCACAAGGGCCTTTTGTTCCCTGCATAGGACACGCTGAATAATAATTCTCTGGGCAAGAAGCACAGTTGGCAGGATCGGGTGTCTCGATCATCCTCACCCCTGAAGACAGGTAAACCAGTGCCCTTTCCCTCACCTGGACTCCCACCTGTCCTGACCCCAGTCCCCACTGCAGAGAGCAAACCCAATAGTCTCCAGCTTGCGAGTGGAGGTAAATGCCTGTCCCTCAGCCTTGAGTAGGCCCATCTGAGGTCAGCTGTGGCACGAGTGAGAGGGCTGGCCCTAGATCCAGCCATGGGCCTGTTGCTGGGTGGACATGCTGAGTGAATGTGCTGAGTGTAGAGAGCAGGTAGCCTGGGAGTCATGGGTGAGGGCACCTGCCCTCAGCATTGACCTGCCTGCTCTCCAGGGGAGCAGACACCGCCACACGAACACATCTGCCTGAGCGATGAGCTGCCCCCCCAGAGCAGCCCCGCCCCCACCACAGACCGAGGCACCTCCACCGACAGCCCTTGCCGCCGCAGTGCTGCCACCCAGATGGCACCTCCCAGTGGCCCTCAGGCTGCCCCACCTGGTGGCCGGGGCCACTCGCATCGGGACCGCATCCACTACCAGGCGGATGTGCGGCTAGAGGCCACCGAGGAGATCTACCTGACACCAGTACAGAGGCCCCCAGACCCTGCAGAGCCCACCTCCGCCTTCTTGCCGCCAGCTGAGAGCCGGATGTCAGTCAGCTCTGATCCAGATCCTGCCACCTACCCCTCAGTGGCAGGGCGGCCACATCCCTCCATCAGTGAGGAGGATGAGGGCTTCGACTGCTTGTCCTCCCCAGAGCGGGCTGAGCCACTAGGAGGGTGGCGGGGGAGCCTGGGGGAGCCTCCGCCNCCACCACACACATTGGCCATCGCCACCGTTGTGGAGGCTGATAAGAGCATCTCCCTAAGGCTTGGCCAGCTTCCCTGAGCCAGGAAGAAGGGCTGGCTTGAGTCAGTAGGCCGGGCTGGGAGGGCTGGGGCTTGCCACCTTTCCTGCCTGCTCCAGAGAGGGTTCGGGGTGAGGTCCTGGACAAGTAGTGGGGGTAGGGGTGCAGCAAATGGCCTAGGGATGGCCTGATGGGGCAGGGCCAGGGCCAGGGCGTCCCTGTGCCGGGCACTGTTGACCGCTCCTGTCACAAGGGCCTTTTGTTCCCTGCATAGGACACGCTGAATAATAATTCTCTGGGCAAGAAGCACAGTTGGCAGGATCGGGTGTCTCGATCATCCTCACCCCTGAAGACAGGTAAACCAGTGCCCTTTCCCTCACCTGGACTCCCACCTGTCCTGACCCCAGTCCCCACTGCAGAGAGCAAACCCAATAGTCTCCAGCTTGCGAGTGGAGGTAAATGCCTGTCCCTCAGCCTTGAGTAGGCCCATCTGAGGTCAGCTGTGGCACGAGTGAGAGGGCTGGCCCTAGATCCAGCCATGGGCCTGTTGCTGGGTGGACATGCTGAGTGAATGTGCTGAGTGTAGAGAGCAGGTAGCCTGGGAGTCATGGGTGAGGGCACCTGCCCTCAGCATTGACCTGCCTGCTCTCCAGGGGAGCAGACACCGCCACACGAACACATCTGCCTGAGCGATGAGCTGCCCCCCCAGAGCAGCCCCGCCCCCACCACAGACCGAGGCACCTCCACCGACAGCCCTTGCCGCCGCAGTGCTGCCACCCAGATGGCACCTCCCAGTGGCCCTCAGGCTGCCCCACCTGGTGGCCGGGGCCACTCGCATCGGGACCGCATCCACTACCAGGCGGATGTGCGGCTAGAGGCCACCGAGGAGATCTACCTGACACCAGTACAGAGGCCCCCAGACCCTGCAGAGCCCACCTCCGCCTTCTTGCCGCCAGCTGAGAGCCGGATGTCAGTCAGCTCTGATCCAGATCCTGCCACCTACCCCTCAGTGGCAGGGCGGCCACATCCCTCCATCAGTGAGGAGGATGAGGGCTTCGACTGCTTGTCCTCCCCAGAGCGGGCTGAGCCACTAGGAGGGTGGCGGGGGAGCCTGGGGGAGCCTCCGCCGCCCCCACGGGCCTCGCTGAGCTCGGACACCAGCGCGCTGTCCTACGACTCAGTCAAGTACACGCTGGTGGTGGATGAGCATGCTCAGCTGGAGCTGGTGAGCCTGCGGCCGTGCTTCGGAGACTACAGTGACGAGAGTGACTCGGCCACTGTCTATGACAACTGCGCCTCTGTCTCCTCACCCTACGAGTCAGCCATCGGGGAAGAATATGAGGAGGCGCCCCGGCCACGGCCCTCTGCCTGCCTCTCCGAGGACTCCACGCCCGACGAACCCGACGTCCACTTCTCCAAGAAGTTCCTGAACGTCTTCATGAGTGGCCGCTCTCGCTCCTCCAGTGAGTCTGCAGCAGGAGCGGTGGGGGATCTGGGTGGGAAGAGCTGAAACGAGGGTGTTCCTGGGTGGTGGCCTCAGGCCCATCCCGTTCAAGGCATAAGGACTGAGCTTTCTACCTCCTCCTCAAACCTCAGCTGAGCTGGGACCTTCCTCCTCCAGCTAGTCCCCTTCACCCATAGGTGCAGAGTCCTTTGGGCTCTTCTCCTGTGTCATCAACGGGGAGGAGCAGGAGCAGACCCACCGGGCCATATTCAGGTAAGAGCACCAGAGCTGGGTTGGCCAGACAGCAGCTGGCGCCACCCCCTCCCTGCCTCTGCCATCACCACATGGCCTAAATCCAACCCCACCACTAGCATTCAACCATCCACTCAGCCCCAGGAGACCGTGTCCACCCTCTCGGAACTCAGAGTAGGGTGACAGAGTGGATGGTTTCCGTGCAGTGTGGTCTTTGCTGCTCTGTTAGAGTGCAGGAGTGAGCACCTGATCTGCCCAGGACCAGAGCCCAGGAGGGCGCCCAGCAGAGCAAATACCTGACCCCACACCAAACCCACCCCCCTCACTCCCCTCCATATGGAAGTGCTTGCTTCCCATCACCTGTCACAGTAGCAGCTCTGGTCACTTCCTTCCTTGGCCCGTGAGTTCCTCCATAGCAGATGCACATCTGATTGACTTTGGTCCCCACCCCCGGGAGTCAGCATTGACAGGCTTACAGATGCTTTGCAAATGTTTATTGAACTAATGATGCAGGTGCAGCTCCCAGACCCCAGAGCAGGGTGGGGTGTAGATGGGAGGGCCTGGCTGGAGAGGCCCTCTGGAGAAGTCCTCACATGCTTTCTCTGGGGACAGGTTTGTGCCTCGACATGAAGACGAACTTGAGCTGGAAGTGGATGACCCTCTGCTGGTGGAGCTGCAGGCTGAGGACTACTGGTATGAGGCCTACAATATGCGCACAGGGGCCCGGGGCATCTTTCCTGCCTACTATGCCATCGAGGTCACCAAGGAGCCTGAACATATGGCAGGTAGAGTTCCTTTCCCCCTGCCTGGTGCCACCAGACTCCACACCTTCCCTGTCCCAACTTGCTGCCCGGTGAGCCTCTGCTCCAGATCTCAGCACCCAGGGAGGGGCCGAGCAGAGGTGACTTTGGGTCAGTTTCACAATTGATTAAAGTGAGGCCCAGCCAAATTAGGACATCTGTGGATTGTGGCACCCTCTGCTGGCTCTGCCACTCCTCACTTCACGCTTGCTTTCCAGCCTTGACCAAAAACAGCGACTGGGTGGACCAGTTTCGGGTGAAGTTCCTGGGCTCAGTCCAGGTTCCCTACCACAAAGGCAATGACGTCCTCTGTGCCGCTATGCAAAAGGTACCTGCTTCCCACCCCCCTGGGGTGGATGCCCACACCCAGCCTAGTCCCTGCCCCCGTCCTCTCTTGGGAGAGAGACACCCCACACCTGGCGCCTGATGTTCCCATTCTTCACCCACAGATCGCCACCACCCGCCGGCTCACCGTGCACTTTAACCCGCCCTCCAGCTGCGTCCTAGAGATCAGTGTGAGGGGTGTGAAGATAGGCGTCAAGGCTGATGACTCCCAGGAGGCCAAGGTGACCACCCTGGCCCCTGCCCTTGCTCTCCCACCAAATCTCCCTCCTCTGCCCCCTGCAGGCTGATGACCACCCTCTTCTCCTCTTCCTCCTGTAGGGGAATAAATGTAGCCACTTTTTCCAGTTAAAAAATATATCTTTCTGTGGATACCATCCAAAGAACAACAAGTAAGTGGGGAAGAACAGAGGTCAAGGCATGGGCTGGGGGCTGAAGCCATTATGGCAGCCACAAATGTGGCTGCAAGGGTCCGAGCCCCCACCCCACCCACAGACAGACTGCTGTCCTCCCACAGGTACTTTGGGTTTATCACTAAGCACCCTGCTGACCACCGGTTTGCCTGCCATGTCTTTGTGTCTGAAGAATCCACCAAAGCCTTGGCAGAATCTGTGGGGTATGTATGTGTGTCCCACCAAGCGCCAGGCCCACCAGCCAGCCCCAGTCCCAGGCCCCCAAGCACAGTCCTCGTGCTCAGTGTCACCCTCAGCCCTCCCCAGCTCTGCACACTGCCTCTGGGTCACAAAGCAAGGACCTTGAGAGGCCTGAGTGGTCTTGAGGAGTAGCTTCTAAATGTTTTTGCTGTTGGCCCCTTTCTTCAGTTGCAGCCTCACTCAGGAAACAATCTGTAGAGATTAGAGTTGAGCAGGGGGAACTGGAGCCCATGAGGGACCCCGAGGCTCCAGTTTGAAAATGTGGGTTAAGTTCCTGTTCTCTCCATCAGCATGTGTGTCTGTGCTTCCTAGGAGAGCCTTTCAGCAGTTCTACAAGCAGTTTGTGGAGTACACCTGCCCCACAGAAGACATCTACCTGGAGTAGCAGCGCTGCCCTGCCCTCTGCATCCCCCGGCCCTCGGGCCAGTGCCAGGACAGCTGGCTGCTGATGGGACATGGCACTTCTTGAGGAGGGGCACCTGCCATCGCCAGAGGGTGGGGAAGTGGAAGCTGTTGGCTGAG